ATTATAATTAATCAAGTAACATTGTAATAAGTATAGTTACTAAAACATAAGCTGCTATTTCCAGTGTGTATATGTGTGTGATTATTAGATGTAAAGATAACACTAGAGTGCTTGTCTAAATCCTAACTGCCCTGACTTATATTGCTTGAGCCAGTGCAACGGTTTTTTTTACTTGTTTAAATCCACAAATGCCTGTTTTTAATTTCAAGAGTTCTCTGAAAATTGTCTGTTCTTAATATTCAGTTGAGTTAGAATATTAAGGAAAATTAAATATTGTATTTTTGTTATTGTTTTAAATAGAAACTTTTTGAGAGTCAAATTAAGTTTTAGAATGCTGAAAACAAGAAAACCGTTTTTCTCTTATCAGCAAATACCTGTATGTCTCTTTTTGTAAAGTTAGCAGTACCTTAGCTGGTAAAAAAATCAGCACATTTTATTACAGATGTGAATGTTATATTGTTAATATGCCTTGTCCAAGTTTTGGCAACAAAGTTACTCTTTTTTTTGCATCCTTGTTTATCGTTACCAATTTTTTAGTCACTTTCAGTTATCCCAAATTTGGCAATAAATAGGCTAAAAAACTAATTTTAATCTCAAAGTGATTTTTTTAATTAGTACTTCAGACTTATCAGGTGACCAAATTTGACAATCAATTTGGTGAAGTGTTAGGATGATGATTTGATGGAGAATGAGGTCCATTTTCACATGGTGGTGTTAAATTCTGTGGTTTTTGTCTGAAAGACAACACTTTAAATATCAATAATAGCATTAATTTTTTTTTTCAATTGCTAAAAAGATGTATATTAAGTATCTAATCCATGTAATATTTTATAGAATTCCACAAAAGCTCAAAGAAATGATGCTCAGGCATACAGATGTACGTAACTCATGTAAAACTTTGTAAGATCAAATAGATGTCAGAATTATTCAACTTTTTAAGGTATGAACATGTTTATATCATAGGAAAAAGTAAACTTTGTCCAAGATTAAAGTCAGATAGAAATCAAAGTTATTACACTTTTTTTCTCAGGTAATATTTTATGATTTGTTATATTGAAAATGTTTAAAGAGTTATTTTCTTGTACTAATTCATGAGGTTGTAGATGAACATTTTTTACAAGATGTTATGTCAGATAAATTATCATTCAGAATACTTGTGGTGATCAGTTAGTATTTCATTAACTGTTTCTTTAAGAGAACTTGATAAGAAGATTCTTCCTGGCAGATGACCAAATAATGTTTGTCATCATAAGTTTTTATCCATGTTATTTTTAAATAACTAAAGATGATAATTTACTCAGTTGCAACTTGTGGGTTTCAACAGTAATTTTTGATATAAAAGAAATTGTAATGAAGACTAAGTTTGTCATCTCTTTTGAAGATGTATGATCAGGAAAGTTAATTTTTATTGGAAATATGTTAACAAATGTTTGGTTTGTAAAACAACTGTTTAAAATATGTACCTTATACTCTGTAATTAACATTATTGAAATACTTTGATAGTTTTGACCAGTTTCCTTATTATGAAAAGTAAGCTGTAGATTGAGCTATATTTCAGCACTGTATAGGAATTGAAATAGCTGTTTTGGATTTTTTCTTCTTTTTTTATGTTTATACATGAAAATAAGTGATAGCTATCAGATGTTTTTGATTTGCTATTCTTGAGACTTAATGGGATTTTTCTCTAGAAACGTGCTCCATCAGGCTACGAGCCTTACCCAGGCAAGAAACAGAGAATATCCCATTACCAAAAGCCTGAAGTGAATGGTGCCTCACCATACTCAGGTTTTGTGAGTTCAGCTAAACCAGATTCTACTGACCTGACCTTTGTTAAAGCCGACTCTGTGCTTAACACTTCAAAGAAGTGGGAGCCTACTCTGAATGGACAAAATGGCTTTTCCAAAACTGATGGCTTCAGTCCAAAGTGTTCAGCTACAGAGAATGGTGTTTCTTCTCACACATCAACCATATCATCTCACTTATTCAACAGACAAACTCCTGAGCCTGAGAAATTTACTCATTGGTCAGCTGCAGGTCTTGCATCAAGCTGCAGCAAATCAACAATGCAAGCAGCTGACTCCTCCCACACTTACATCAATAGGCATTCCTCACCTGACTCCAATAGCCACTCACAGACTGTAGCAGCACCAAAGATTAATAATTTCAGTTCTAAGCTGCCTCCTAATGGCTATCTTAAACACCACAGCAGTCCTGTAGAAGAAAGGATGAATGGAGTGAGACGGTCAAAAGTCAGTTCCACAACAAACAGTACCGATTCAACTCCTTCGTCTAGTCCTGATAGTCAGGATAGTTTATGTTTCAAAGGTACATATTTTTTTTTTCTCTTAAAAAGTTGTTTCTTGCGAATAAAGATTGTACGGTAGTCTGAGTTTTTATGTGAATTAGTATATTTTATTATATAAAGGTGACTATTAAAAAGCTATGAATATAATGCTTTTAAAAGCTGTACAAATACTCATACAGAACGTACTTAGCTTTATAATGTTCTATGCTTGAGGACTTTTGTATAATGAAGCCTCTCCTGATTCCTTTTTTTTTATAGGGGGCATTATCAATATTGTGAGCAGTATTTTTAGATTATTCTTCTAACCACTAATAGGTAAAGTATAAAATTTGCTCTACAGGCTTATCGGTAAAAATGGTGAAAAAAAAACGTGTTAAAACTAAATTATGCAGATATTGGTAGCTTCACCAATTTATTGACTGAAATTGTACGACTTTATCCAGTTTTTTGGAGCAGAGTTATGGGTTTGAATCTTGTTCAGTCTCAGTTTTTACTTCTGATAATTTTCCAACTTTTTAAAAGGGTTAAAGTTCAATTTTAGAATTTTGTTCAAAGATATTTTGGTGTCCTAATTTGGTTTTATTTCACTTGGTGGTTATATGGATGAAAGTTTAAAAATAAGTTAGAGAAACGAGCATCTTAATACATTGTTTTCATATAGGTTCTCAAAGTCATACATCATCTCCTACTACAACTTGTGAAGTACCAGACTATTTAACGTAAGTATTTATCTTTAATATTTTTATACACATGTATAAATATTCTTAAAGTACAAGTGGAGTTCATGGTTTTGCCTTTCCATTAGGAAATTGTAATTAACAATTAATTAATTGTGTGTGTAATTAACAATTGCATACATTTCTTATTCATACTTTTGTCTTCTGTGTATGAATTATAATTTTTCTACTTCTTACAAACCTGATTAAACAGCTTACAGAAGTAAAAGTTTGAAAAGGTTAAAAATTGTACAATCTGACAAATTGGTAGTATATATTTACCTTAAATGCTTACTTTTACATTTTTATATATTTATGTTTGCTTCTATCCAATATCCATATGTTGTACATTCAATTCTTTGGTATCAAAATAAATTTGAACTTCTTTTTATAATGATATATGTTGTATATTTTCATTCAGTAGTTGGAATACAAAGGAAACTTTAAATAAACAATTTACAGGACGTATGCTAGACGAGTCAAGAAAAATAATTACTCCACTAAAGTTTTAGTGACATGTTTACCATGAGCTTTTGAATGTATGTTTCTGTTTATTTTCTTAACACTTTTGCTATGAGCATCTTCTAACATAACATAATGTTTTGGGACAACATAGGAGCTATTGGTCCATCTCAGCTCTTCCATCCTCTAAACTAAATTAAAATAATTTAAAAAAAAAAATCTTAAACTCACTTAAATTTACTGCCTCTACAACATCTGAAGGCAACCCATTCCAAAGGCCAACCACCCGTGAGAAAAATGAAAATGTCTTAGCTGAAAAGGACTGATACCTTACCAAAATTTATATTTGTGTCCCCTAGTCCTACTATTTTCACTGTTAAATATGAAAAAATATGATGCATCAACACTATCAATTCCCTTTACAATCTTAAACACCTCAATCAGATCCCTCCTAACTCTTCTTTTTCCAAGAGAAAACAATTTGAGAGATTTCAACCCCTCCATCCCAGGCATTCTAGTGATTCTCCATTCTTGTAATTTTTTCTCTGAACAATTCAGCATCTTTCCTAGAGTAAGAAACCCAAGACTGAACACAATATTCCAAATGTGGGCTAACCAGTGACCTGTATAATGAAATTATAACATCTTTAGACTTGTATTCAGTATTTCTGTAGATACAACCTATTTGCCCTACCACTAGCAACAGCACACTGCTTTGATGGCTTTAGAGATTGATCGACTATTATATCAATATCCTTTCTTTTATGATATTGTTAAGGTTATTCCCATCTAAATTATACTTATAATTCAAATGATGATAACCCTCATGCATTATCTTGCATTTATTATCATTAAAACCCATCTGCCATTTATTTGCCCAACTCACTAAATGATCTAAATCCTTTTGTAAAACAGCAGCATCCTCTTCACAGCTATCAACACCAGACCATAATATCATCTGCAAATTTAAGTAATTTATTGACTATTCCTTCATCTATGTCATTGATGTAAATCAAAAAGAGCAGAGGTCATAAGACTGAGCCCTGAGGGTAACCCACTTGTGAAATTAATCCAGTTTGACCGAACTCCATTTGTAACAATCTTCTGCTTTCTCACATCCATCCACTCTTCTATCCAATTTGATAACTTATCCCCCACACTTACAGAGATTTTTTAAGCCTTTTATGTGGCACCTCAACAAATGTTTTCTGAAAATCCAGATACACCAAATCTCTACACC